CGGGCAGCCCCGGGGGCACCGGCCCCGGGCGGGGGGCGCGGGGGGCTCCGCGTCCCGCCGCTCCTCATGCCCGGCCGCCCGCGCTCGGCTGCGCTCGGCTCTTCCCGGCTGCTTTCGGCTCTTTCCGGCTCGGTTCGGGTCCGTCCGGGTCCGCTCGGCTCCGGCCGCCGCCGCCGGGCGGCCGCAAACAAACCCGCGACGGCGGGAGGGGCCGCCCCGGCCACGCCCCCCGCCGCTCGTTGCCGCGGCGACAGCCAATCAGGAGACGCCGCTGAGCGCTTCCCCAGGCGGCCAATGGCGGAGCGAGGCAGCGGGGAGCGAGGCATGCTGGGAAATGTAGTACGCGGAGGGGGGCAGGGGCACCGGGGGGCGTGTGGGGTGACACGGAGGGGAATATGGGGGACAAAGCGAGGGGGACATGGGGGAACACATCGGGGATCACGGGTGGGACCAGGGGAGGCACGGGGGGCTGCGGGAGGGGCAGCTAGAGGGAGGACACGAGTGGGACAGATGGGTGGGACACACGTGGGGCATAGGGTGGACACGGGGGGACACGGGGAGGGACTGGAGAGGACACGCGAATGAAAAACACAAGTGTGACACACGAAGGGGACGTGGGGACACTGGTGGGACTGAAGGAAGCCAAGAGGGGGACACATGGGTGAGACACGCGAGTGGGACTGGGGAGGGCTGGGGGGTCATGAAGAGGACACAGGGGTGACACACGGGTGGGACCACGGAGGGGACACAGATGGGATATGAGTGGGACACACGGGCAGGGAAAACACTCCTGGGACACTGGTGGGACCAGGGGACACAGGTGGGACACAGCGGTGGGACTGTGCTGGGTCAAAGAGGGGACACATGCGTGGGACACATGGATGGGACATGGACAGGACACGTGGGAGGGGTTTGGGTGTGTGATCCCCCCGTGGGACACAGGGACAGGTGGGTGGCACTGGGGGATGTGACAAGCAGCCCAGCCCTTTGTCCCCTCTGTCCCCTCTGTGCCAGCGCTTCCCGCTCTCTAATCCCATCCTAAATGTGTCCCCACACGGGGACAGTCACCGGTGCCATGTCCCCATCCCGCGGGCTGAGCCGGAGCTGGGCCACTCGCCAGCCTGGGGGGACAGCAGGGGACACAGAGGGGACATGCTGGATGTGTCCCCGCCTCAGATCCGGGACGGAGGGACGAGCAAAGCCCGCACGTGTGACACCGCCCGGCCACACGGGAGCCCCGGGGGCGATGCCCCCCCAGCCCAGCCCCCCCTGGAGGGGGTGGGGGGTCCGCGGAGCCCCCCCGGCCCGGCCTGGCCCCCCGAGCCCGGGGGACTCTGAGGACAGCGTGGAGTCAGCGGGGTTAAGGGCAATAATTCTGCCGTAAGCAGCTTTTGGCTGCTCTGGCCCATGTGAGCTTAGGCTGGACACCGCTGTCCGGCACTGCCGCCGCGACTACGGCGTCCCCACCGTGGCCACATCGTCCCCACCGTGTCCCCGTTGTCCCTGTGGTGGCCCCCATGCAGGGCTGGGCACCCCAAAGTGGCTGTGCCCCGGGCATGTGCCCCCCACACGGCTCCGTGTGCTGGTGTGGCCTCGCTGTGGCATCACCTGGGGGACACGGGTGTCCCCAAAACCCCACCACGGCCCACCAGGGCCAGCTGTGTGACCCCACAGTTTTGGAGTGACCTCACACCCTGCGGTGAGCCCCCTTCCCAATTCTGGCCACATCTGGGCAGGGCACAGCTGGACTGCCAGCAGTGCCCGGTGTCACCATGCCAATGTCACCACCCCGCTGTCACCACCCTGGTGCCTTGTCCCCAAAGGAGGATGGTGACATTGTGGGGTTCCAAAGGAACTTTTTGGGGACTGTGGAGCTGCTGGTTGAGGCGCTGGCCCCAGCTGTGCCCGGGGCTCTGCCAGCCATGTGCCACCCGCCCGGAAACGGGGACGGTGACACTGCTTCCACCCAGGATTTAAATGCCACCAAGGTTAGGAGCAGCTGAGAAGAGATTTCCAGGATTGGATTTTTGGATGGAGATGCCTCAATTCCGGCTAAGCTACACTTTAAGCGTCAACGTCCCGGGTCGGCCCCCGGGCGCTGACACGGTTGTCACCCTCCACGTGGCATCGGGGCGCTGGCGGGTGACGGCTCTGGGGTGCTCTGTGGGGGCTGCTCGTTGTCCCTCAAGGACCCCAGGGACAGAACCACCCCAGAGCTGGGATCCCATGGGACCCCACAAACAGCACCCTGAGGGACCCCAGAGCCAGACCCAGAGCTGGGACTCCAAAGCCAGAACCGAAAGCCAGGACCCCAAAACCAAGACCCAAAAACCAGGACTCCAAAGCAAGAACCCAGAGCCAGGACCCAGATTTGGGACCCCAGATGATCCCAGAACCAGGACCCTGAGAGACCCCAGAATGAGCACCCCAAAGGATCCCAGAACCAGAACCCAGAGTTGGGACCCCAAAGCCAGGACCCAGAGAGACCCCAGAGCTGGGACACCAAGAGAGACCCAGACTCAAGATACTGGAACCAGGACTCTGAGAGACCCCTGAGCCAGGACACAGAGCTGGGACTCCAAAGCCAGGATCCAGAGCCAGGAGCCAAGAGCTGGGAACCCAAGGGACCCCAGAGCCAGGATCCCGAACAACCCCAGAATTGGGATCCTGAATGACCCCAAATTCAGGGCCCTGACGGAGCTCAAAGCTGGGATCCAGAACCAGAACCCTGAGAAACCCCAAACACAAGACCCCAGAGCCAGGACCCCACATCCCAGGATGCAGCTGCCAACCAAGCAGGGTCTGGGGGTGCCCAGCAGAGCCATGACCAGGCATCCCCCCAGTGTGTACCCCAAAACCAGATGTGGAGAGAAGCCACAGGCCAGTCCTTTAATGCAGGAGGGGGCAGATGGGGCTGGGCACGCCTGGCACTCTGGGGTGCCCAATTCCATGGGTGCCATCCATGTCCTCAGCTCTCCTCGCCAGTGCTGTGGAGGGGAAAATGCCACCAGTGAGCAAGGACTGGGGACATCTGGGAGCCACAGCTGGGGGAGGGAACCCCCGTGGTGACACCCTGGGGAGGGTGGCACCTACCCCAGGTGCTGGCAGAAGCGCAGCACGGCCTGCTCCTGCTCTGCAGTCTCGATGGAGCCGGGCCGGAGGCGCCGGATCTCGCGGATGGCATCACCACCTGCCAGGTGCTGCTCCTTGCACAGGTAACAGGCCAGCAGCGTGCCAGTCCGGCCGTGGCCCAGCATGCAGTGCACTGCCACGGCCTGGACACAGGGACACGGCGGCTGGGTGGCACTGCTGGACGCCCACGTGCCCCTCTGAGTGACAGGTGACCCCCGCTTTGGCGCTGCCTTCATGGGATTTCTGCCTGGTGTCACCTTCCCTCACCCCCTCCCCTCATCTTGCCAGGCATCCCTTCTTGAAGTGACAACTCCCTGAGACGTCACAGCCACCAGGTGTCACAGCCCTACCACAGGTGTGTGTTCCCCTCCAGGTGTCACCCTCCCAAAGTGTCATTGCTCAAGTGGTGTCCACCTCCCAAGGTGTCACCCTCCCAAAGCGTCATTCCTCAAGTGGTGTCCCTCTCCCAAGGTATCTCCCCCACTAAGGTGTCATTCTCCCAAGATGTCATCTCCCTACACCTCCAAGGTGTCCCCCACCACAGTGTCATTTTGCCAAGATGTCACCCCCACCACCAAGGTGCCATCCTTCCAAACATCCCTCCCTAAGGTGTCCCTCTCCCCTGAGGTGTCACCCCCTCAAGGTGTCCCCTAAGTGTTCCCCCAGATGTCTTCCCCAGTGTCCCCTCCCCTGGTGCCTCTCCTGGTGTCTTCCCCCACATATCCCCCAGTGTCACCACCTCAACTGTCCCCTGCAGTCTCCCCCAGCGTCTCCTCACAGTTGTCCCCCCGCTGTCCCCTCCCCCAGGTGTCCCCGGCCATACCTCCCCGCGGCCATTGGCCTCCTCCACGATCCGCAGGAAGCTCTGGATCTGCTCGGGGCTCGGCGGGGTGAAGTCGGCCACGCGGAGCCGGTGGAGCTGGATTTGGGGACAGCAGCCGTGGTGGGGCGGGGCCCGCTCGGTCAGGGACACCAGGTGCCGCACGCCGCGCTCCCGCAGGTACCGGTAGTGCCCCGGCTCCCGCGGCATCGCCAGCCCCGCCAGCCGCCCCTCGACCACCCACGAGAAGTTGGGGGGCTCCGATGCACCCATCGCCTGTGGGAACAGGGGACACTGCGGCTCTGGGGACGCCGGGGAGGATCCCCTCGGATCCCCCAGGTCAGGACCCCCAAATCAGAGCCCCCAGGTCAGGACCCCTGGAACCTCCATTTTGGATGTCGGGACCCCAAGGAAGATCCCCTGGGACCCCCCCAAGGTCAGTACATCCAGGACCCCCAATATCACCCCTAGGAGAATGTGGCCAGGTCCCCAAATCAGGTCCCCAGAGCCCCCAGGACCTCCAACACCCCCTCCCCAGTAAACGTGGCCAGGCCCCCAAATCAGGTCCCCAGAGACTCCCAGGACCCCCAACACCCCTCCCCAGTAAACGTGGCCAAGCCCCCAAATCAGGTCCCCAGAGACCCCCAGGACACCCAACACCCCCTCCCCAGAAAACGTGGCCAAGCCTGGGATCCCCAGGACTCCAATACAACCCCTCTCCCCCCAGAACATGGCCAGGCTCCCTGGGACCCCCACTTCAGTCCCCTGGGACCTCCTGACAGGCCCCCATGACCCACAGAGTCAGACTCCCTGGGACCCCCATCTCAGGACCCCAGACCCCATTACCACCTCCCCAGGGCCCCTGGCCAGGACCCCTGAGACGCCAAATTAATGCCCCCCAATTCCAACCCCTGGAGAACATGGCCAAGCCCCCATTCAGGCCTCTGGGACCCACAGCTCAGACACCCAGACCCCCCAACACCATTCCCCTGGAGAACCCTCCACGCCTCCAAAAGCCCCAGTACCACCCCCAAAACCCCTGGCCAGGACCCCTAAATAAAGCCCCCAGACCCCCAGCTCAGACTCTGCCCATCAGGACCCCTGCCCCCCCAAAACCAACCCCATGGAAAACCCAGTCAGATCCCCAGGACCCCCAGGTCAAGACTCCCAAATTCAGAACCCCCATGTCAGGACCCCCAAAAACACACCCTGGAGAATGTGGCCAGGGTACCCCAAACTCCCCTGCACCCCAAACCCCAAATTCAGACCCCTCAATTGACACCCCTCACGTCAGGATCCTCACACCCAGCAGAGTTGAACGGGTACCCCAATTCAGACCCCCCCACCTCATGAGTCCCCCGGGAGCCCCGCTCA